AGGGCAAGCTGGGGAGGGCTAGCCTCCCACTAGTTCGAATTAAGTGGCTACACAGCCCTTAATTCGAACTACTTAATTTGAACTAGGCTTAGTCCTTGTAGAATGAGGTTTACCTAGTTCGAATTAAGCGCTCCGCTAGTTCAAACTAGCAGTTTGTATGTGTAGCGCCTATTAAAGTTAATTCAAACTAACATCCGTTAGTTCAAATTAACTTTGTAGTGTAGACATACCCAGAGGCATCCAGAGGTGATGCATAATGTTACTAGACGAGAGTTTGAGCTAGTTCTTTGTTGCACCAAGGGAAAGAAACCTCTAGATATTGAATCCAGCCCTGGTTGCTGCTGGCTTCAGCTGGCAGAAGAGTTTCCCACTCATTTCATACTTACATGGCATTTAGCTGCTTGTGGTTTCAGACGTTCCCTACCTGCCCAAAAAAAGGGATCCCAGGTTTGTAATGGGAGTCCATTTGCTCAAAGGTGACTTTGCTAATGGTAGATGTGATTTCACAGGAACTTGTCTCCGTTAACTCCACCTCTGAAAGAGAAGAGAACAAAGAGGGGGCATGAACTAACACATGGAAATTATGCCTTTCAGTCCTTTGCCATTCCAACCCATGGCTCACGCAGAGCCCTGCCAGTGCCCCTCAGTCCTGCCCTTTGATTTCCCTGGTGTTACAGTCCTGCGCTCCCCACACCTGACCTGGCAAGTACATATATTTCATACCTGTCTCTGCCTCTTTAATCTTGGCTTCCACCTGGATTTTATTCTCATACCCAGCTCTCTTGAGCTGGAATCCCTTGGTCTTTACCACTTCAGAAATACAGCCCTGGCTATCTGCCTGATGGACAAAAAAGAACAAAATCCTTAGGAGTTTTTTCTCTCATTCTCCTGTGTGCAAAGTTTATCATCCTCAGAAAACCTATTCTGACTGAGCTGAGAAAAAAGAGATTGGAGAACACCACATTTTCACTGTTCAGACTTTGTTTTTCAGATTTGGAAAGTCCATAAACTAACTGGCAATGAACATTCTGAAATACACAGCAACACAGTTGAAATACAGAGTAAAATGATTAGCAGGCTGGACATTTAAAAACTTCTTTTAAAAGCATGAAATTCCAAATGCCTAATGGAAAAATAAAAAGGGACTATGTAGGGCATATGCCATAACAGAAATATCTCCCCCATATCATATATATTAGCAGATACTCATTTGTTTGAAATACCAAGTGGAATCAGCAGGTGTCATACAAATACCAAAAAGATTAGATACATAGAAGAGCGAAATGATAGCTAGACAGATGCTTCCAAAGCCTGCCCTTGCTTCCTGTCCCCACTGCTGTGCCCTCACAGCCTGGTCCGTGTAACCTCCTCCTCTCTAAGCTCTTCTGCCTCCAGCCTAAACATTCCTTGTTCCCACGCTCAGACCACATCATCCTACTCTGGAGATCTCTCCCCCGCTTCCTGTCTATTTTTGCATAAAAAAGGCTCCTGGTCCTCCCCATAATGGTCTGCCTCATTTCAACCCCGCTCTGCTCTTCTATACCTCATACTCCATCCCACTTCTCCTCTCCTTGCTCCCTGCATTTCTCCCCTTCTGTCCTCTTACTGATCTTTCCATCTCCTCCTTCTACTGCTCAGCTTTGTGCCTTCCCTAGCATGAATCCCTAAGTACGAATTCTTCCCCTTGTCTTCATCTGCCAAGCATCCTCAGTCTGCTCCCTCAAATGCTTCTTTAAAACACACTTTGGAGAACCCCTCCGCCCTTCTACCCACCAGCAGTAATTCAGATGTTCCCCCTTTCTAGAATCACTGATCAATGTTTATTTTGGCTTGTTCTATCTTCCAAAGTTCACCAGCTCTTTGTGGCCAGAGACTATGCCTAGCCATATATTTCTAACGTGATTTAAGACTGCAGAGACTCTAGGAGGCAGTGTGGGCAGCAGACAGGACACTGGGTTGGCACTCAGAAGTCCTGAGATATATTTCCAGCTCTGACACTGACTTGTTGATTGCACTTGAGTAATTCCTTTCACCAACCCCTCCAACCATTTGTTTTGTCTGTTGATGGAGTAAACTCTTGGGCTATGTCTAGACTGGCATGATTTTCGACAAATGTTTTTAATGGAAAAGTTTTTCCATTAAAAGCATTTGCGGGAAAGAGCGTATAGACTGGCATGGACTCTTTTGCACAAAAGCACTTTTTGCGGAAAAGCGTCCGTGCCAATCTAGACGCGGTTTTGCGCAAGAAAGCCCCGATCGCCATTTTTGCCATCGGGGCTATTTTGCACAAAACAGTTTTTAGCTGTCTACACTGGCCCTCTTGCACAAAAACATTTCTGGAAAAGGGCTTTTGCCCGAATGGGAATGTCAAAGCATTTGTGCAAGAAGCACTGATTTCGGACAGTAGAACGTCAGTGCTTTTGCGCAAAATCAAGCGGCCAGTGTAGACAGCTGGCAAGTTTTTGCGCAAAAGCAGCCGCTTTTGTGGGAAAACTTGCCAGTCTAGACACAGCCTTGGGGACAGGATATTTCTTTACTATGTGTATTTATAACACCTAGCACAATAGGGCCCCATTTGGACCCTTAGGTGCTACTGTAATATAACAGATAAATAACTAATCATCCTCTACTCATCCCTCTTCTGAAAGCCATTGGTCCATCTAGATCAATTTCCACCTCCTGGTCAGATTGTAGCTCCATCCATCTAACAAAATCATAGAGTTCAAGCCATAAGGGATCACTGGACCTCTGGCATATCACAAGCTGCCAGCACCATCCAGCCCTTGCACACTCATCCAATAAGAGGGATTGAGGTGCATCAGTGCCTGAGGCCACCACAATGGCAAGAAAATAATCTGTGAGTCCAGATCTGTTATTACTGGTACATCTAGTCTGGTATCACACAGTATTTTCATGGAAAAGAACTATTAACCTATCTAGTCCATTCCCCAGCAGGATTATGCCTAAAGCGGGCATAGTTTTCTTTCGCATGCCACATCACACCACCTCACGGACAGCGTAGCAATCACCTACCTGCCCGGAGAATTCCTCACACACGGCCTTTGAATCCTCACCATAACACAAGGTGCCCGGGTGGTTATATTTCCGGCACACACGGACGCTCACAAAGCCAGGGACTGCCTTTCCAAAGGTGTATCTATAACCAGAGAGGGGTCAAAGGAAACCAAGGCTATTAGTGAGGTGGGAGAGCTGAAGAGCTGGAGAAGATGATCAGTCCTGTGACCCTGCACTCCTTAATCATCATAGTGGTGTGATTATGATGTGATGGCAAATGGCAGAACAAGGAGCAATGGTGTCAAGTTACAGTGGGGGAGTGTGATGTAGTGGGGGTGGTTTCTGCTCTGTAACCCAGTGTCCTCCTGCGCTGTGATGTATGATTCCCACTGACTCACCACATGTGTATTAGCCCAGACACCTAGGACCAGCCTGACCAGATAACAAAGCTCTTCCCCCATGGGAGAGACAAAGGGAGGGAGGCGGAGACGAACACCTGGTTTGGAGGCAGAGTCTGGGAGTGAGGCAGTTGCTGGCTGGGAAACATGAAGGAAACAGCCTAAGCTGAGGGCTGAGGGTCGGGGCGGGGGGCAATGGACCCCCTAACTCAAGGAGTCTGAGGCATCTTGGCCCTGTATGTGCTGTGCTGTATCCTGGAGAAGCAACAAACCCTCTCTATTCTACTGGCTGACAGAGTTTGTTCTTGCTGCTACGGGGCTGCAGGACCAGGAGGAACCCCGACTCGCCATCACAGGGAGGTCTAGGTTGGACATCAGGAAAAACTATTTCCCTAGGAGGGTGGTGAAGCACTGGAATGGGTTCCCTAGGGAGGTGGTGGAATCTCCATCCCTAGAGGTTTTTAAGTCTTGGCTTGACAAAGCCCTGGCTGGGATGATTTAGTTGGGGTTGGTCCTGTTTTGGGCATGCAGATGGACTACATGGCCACTTGAGGTCTCTTCCAACTTTAACTTTCTATAATTCTATTATTCTAAAAGAACATAACACTGGCTGTACTGGTTCAGGCCAAAGGTCCATCAAGCCCTCTGTCCTTGGCGGTCACACATTCGTTAACATATTTAAGCTCAAAAACAGCTACAGGCAGTCCCCGGGTTACGTACAAGATAGGGACTGTAGGTTTGTTCTTAAGTTGAATCTGTATGTAAGTCGGAACTGGCGTCCAGATTCAGACACTGCTGAAACTGACCGCCAGTTCTGACTTACATACAGAATCAACGTAAGACCCCCAGGCGTCCCCAAGTCAGCTGCTGCTGAAACTGATCAGCAGCTGATTCCAGGAAGCCCGGGGCAGAGCAACTCTGCCTGGGGCTTCCTGTAGTCAGCGCTGGTCAGTTTCAGCAGAAGCTGACTTGGGGAGTTGCTGGCTGGGAAACATGAAGGAAACAGCCTAAGCTGAGGGCTGAGGGTCGGGGCGGGGGGCAATGGACCCCCTAACTCAAGGAGTCTGAGGCATCTTGGCCCTGTATGTGCTGTGCTGTATCCTGGAGAAGCAACAAACCCTCTCTATTCTACTGGCTGACAGAGTTTGTTCTTGCTGCTACGGGGCTGCAGGACCAGGAGGAACCCCGACTCGCCATCACAGGGAGGTCTAGGTTGGACATCAGGAAAAGCTATTTCGCTAGGAGGGTGGTGAAGCACTAGAATGGGTTCCCTGGGGAGGTGGTGGAATCTCCATCCCTAGAGGTTTTTAAGTCTTGGCTTGACAAAGCCCTGGCTGGGATGATTTAGTTGGGGTTGGTCCTGTTTTGGGCATGCAGATGGACTACATGGCCACTTGAGGTCTCTTCCAACTTTAACTTTCTATAATTCTATTATTCTAAAAGAACATAACACTGGCCGTACTGGTTCAGGCCAAAGGTCCATCAAGCCCTCTGTCCTTGGCGGTCACAGATTCGTTAACGTATTTAAGCTCAAAAACAGCTACTGAAGTTGATGTCATTGTGCCTCCTTACACCAAGCTGACTTTGCCTCTTAGCTCTTTTGTCCTTCCTCATCAGTCAGCCCCTCCAGCCCCTTCATTGTTTGTGTTGCTCCTCTCTAAGTCCTCTCCATTTTCACGTGGATAGCGAGGTGCCCAAAAAATAGGCCTGTTCCAGGCACAGCCTCAACAGGTTATGCAACTGTGTGAGGGGCAAAACAAAGCAGCCAGCTGCCCCTCTGAAAAGCCATTCAATTCCACTGAAGTAATTTCCCATGTTGTTTGGAGAGCTGAGAACAAAACTTGGTTTTGGAGAATCTATTGCAGGAATACTGATTGCTGGAAATGCTTGGCTGAATCACTTGGTTGTGATCTTTACTATACCCCCATTTTTATTAAGCTACTACACATCGAACATCTTGCAAATCATTGTTGCAGTGTGTCTCAGAGTGTCCAGCAGGAACTCTGGAGATTGCCAAACATGAGGCTCTGCGCTGAGGGCCAGTGTTTGGTGAACTAGCTGCACCAGGGTTGCCTTGGAGTTTCCCCATCTGCAATGGAGAAGCCGTTCTTAAATGTGCTAGGTCTATTGGGCCTGATCCAAACACTACACCCCAGCTATCGCACCCAACAACTGCACCTCGGTTAGCTCATGTGTGCTAGGGACACAAGGGTGTTGTCCGAGTGTTACATGCCCAAGATGCTCCAAGCAGCAGATGCTGAAAAGCTTGTTATCCTATTACAAACAGGGCCTTTTGTATAGGTCCCAAAAACTTCCTTAAGAAATATTTTAATCTCCACATATTGATCTCAGCTCTCATCTGGGGCTTCATTAGCAACTGAGGTGAGAGAGAAACCAAAAGAGGAGTTCAGGAAAGAACAATACTCACAGGCCACAGACTGTCACCTTCAACTTCTCTTCCAAGATGCTGATCACCTTGGGCAGCTTCACCAGAACTTCAAATTTAGGCAGCACTGCAGAAAGGAGACCACAAAGACACACAGACTCAGTGCAAGAGTGGTAACATGATTGCTCTAATGCCTCTTTCCCAAAGGGACCCAACGCATTTCAATTTTTCTCATTAGTGTGATTTTCCAAAGTGCGGATCATCTGCAACTCCCACTGAAGTTAATGGAGTGATGAGTCCTCAGCACCTTAGAATCTTGTTTACAAACTGGGTGATTAACAGGTGATTAAGACAAGAAAGGGCTGTTAGGATGTTTCCTGAAGTTAAATGATCTGTTCCAAGGTTGGTGAACTGCATAAAGTATGGCTATAGCTACACTAGCAAGGTTTGACCATGAAAGTGGAGTCACCAAAGCTGGAAACTTGTCAAACTGGCTTTTCTGGTACCCTTTGTGTCCACACATGCAGCTCCCTTGTCAACAAAAAGAGCAAAGGATTGTGGGCATGCATCCCACAGTGCCCTGCATCACCTTCCACACTCTAAGCCCTATGAGAATGTGCAATGTAGCAGTAGGCATGATGGGAACATTAAAAACATCCCGTTAACCATCTGTATTCTTCTCAGACTTCCCTGGGGTTTTCCGAATCCCATGTCAATTCAAGCAAACATGATGAGAAAACATGGTCACAGCCTTCTGGTCCTTATGTGCAGAAGACATCATACACTGCAGCATATCTAATGACAGACCTACTGGTGGACAATGACTACACTTACGATACTCATCAAATTCGGATTATCATAGTCAGATTCATTAGAATCTGATTCAGATTCATCAGAATTAGCAGCCAGGGAATTGATCTATAGTTTTGTTATGCTCAGCTGATCATCACTCTTGGGCTAGGGAAACCCAATGTGTGGCAGGATCACATTATCATGTAGGTGTCGGATGAAGAGCAGCTGCTACAGAACTTTCAGATGCGTAAAGCGAACTTCCTGGAGCAGTGTGCGGCGCTGGTCCTTGCACTGCGGCGCAAGGGCACCCGAAGAAGAGCTGCTCTCTTGGTAGAGAAGTGTGTGGCCACTGCTTTGTGGAAGCTGGCAACTCCGGATTACTACCCTTCAGTTGTGAATCACTTTGGAGTGAGCAAGTCTACTGTCGGCGCAATATTTCTGCCAGTGTGCCAGGCAATAAATGACTTTTTGCTGGACAGGCCAGTGACTGTGGGAAATGGGGGCGACATAGTGGCTGGCTTTGCTGAAAAGGGTTTTTCTAACTGTGGCAGGGCAATAGAAGGCACACACGTCCCCATTTTAGCACTTTGCCTCAAAGTACATCAGTTGGAAGGGGCACTTCTCCATTGTGCTCCAGGTGCTTGTGGACCACAGCGGGCATCTCCCAGACATAAGTGTGGGGAGGTCTGGAAAGGAGCATGATGCACACACCTTCAGGAACAGTGGCCTGGACAGGAGGCTGCAGTCTGGCACTTCCTTTCCAGACCAAACATTTGCGGTAGGGGATGTGGAAATGCCCACAGTGATCCTAGGTGACACTGCTTTCCCCTTGCAGCCCTGGCCCTTGAAGCCTTACACAGGGCACCTGGACAGCAGTAGGGGATGGATCAACAACAGGTTAAGCCACTGCCAAATGGCTGTTGAATGTGCCTTTGACAGACTGAAAGGGAGATGGAGAGGTCTCTATGGCAGGCTGGACTTTCTGAAGGATCATATCCCTAAAGTGTTGGCCACATGCTGTTGCTTACATAATTTCTAGGAGAGTAAGGGTGAACTGTTTCCCCATGGGTGGAGTGCTGAGGCACAGGGTTTGGACACACACTTTGAGCAGCCAGAGACACTCAAGCTGTTAGAGGAGCACGGAGGTTGGCTGTCAATATCAGGGAGGCTTTGAGGAAACCCTTTGACAACGAGGAGGCCTGAGATTTCTGTGCCTTGAGGTTGTAAGTGAGGCATTCGGGCCAGAGTGTTTGGCATGGATTGTTTAATACAAAATAAAAGCTCATGGAAACATGCATAGCATTTGTCTTTTATTGTATTTTAAAACTTCACAACTGTGCTAAGGTCGCGCTGTGATCATTGGGTTCACAGGGAGTGGAGCTCAAGGAGAAGAAACCATTGCAGGGTTGTGTTGAGCATGTTGAAGAAAGGTTGCTGGATGCATCATGCAGCTGTGCATGATGATGGGGTGAGGGCGAATCATGGCTGCTAGGCAGAGAGTTAGAGTTGAGGGGCTTTAGATTATGGTCTCTATTGTTCAGGACTCTTGTGCTTCTGAGTATCTCATTTTGGTCCTGCATGTGCTGTAGCATGCATTCAGTGATCTCCTGCCTCTGTTCGACTCCATCTTGTTTCTGGTCCTGCTTGTGCTCTCTTTGCTTCCCCTCCCTTACTCTTTGCTCCCTCTCTATAGCTCATCGTCGTTCTCTTTAACTGCCTGAGCAGAGGAGGGACCCAGCAAATCCTTCATCTTATTATCACACATCCTTGGCTTCTTTTTTCTCAATTACCATATTCTATTTGATGATGGTGTCCAAGATGGTGGACTCCTCAGGGTCTAGTCTGAAAAAGTAACCATTAACAATAGCATGACTGTACTCTTCATGAGTAAATGTAACAGTTCTGACTGTAATACCCATGGCCTAGGGAAAAAATCCCACTTTTTTGGATTCTCCAGTAGTCAAGCAGACATCTGCTGTGCAGATACTTCTTTATCATGGTGAGTTTTTTTTTAATTTGGGGGTGAAGCTGTGGGGGAAAGAGGTTT